AAATTATTTGGTTTATTTTAAAATTTTAAAGAATATTTGCATCATGTGGAATTAATATGTGGAATTCACAAAATTAGAATTCTCAAAAACGAAATCGAATAAAAAACTTATTAAATCCGATCCTATGGAAGATCATCTATTTAATCAACTCACAACAAATTTGAATTAACAAATACCGAAAGGAAAATGATTGATAGACCTTGTTGGTAGTAGCAAACAAAAGGCCTATTAGCTCAGCTGGTTAGAGCGTCGTGCTAATAACGCGAAGGTCGCAGGTTCGAGACCTGCATGGGCCATTATTTTTTGGTTTTCACCTTGTTCAGTAACTTGTATTATGAATTTATGTTCAGTAAACGTCATAAACAATATTATAAAGTGTAAAATTCACAAATTTTACCCTGCAATCTATCTCCATGCCTAATAAAAACCTCCCTTAAATGTGCATGTCCTTTTTCTATTTACCTGTTCTTTTATTTTCCCGTTCATATATATCTCCTTAATTGAAAAACAATCTCCAAATCAGATCCCATGAAATGTGCAATCAAAATTTTGAAATTCTTAATTATTTGTTCCAAGTTACCAAATGTAAGATTCAGTTCCCTAAATCTTGCTCTTCACATATATCTCCATCTATGGATTTTTAGGGTTTATTGAACTGTATTTTGCTACACATGGGTTAAATGGAAACAGAATCTGATGGTTGCCCCTCCGCTCTTTGCTGTTTGCATCAGATTCACAAAGCGAAGGCTCTCTCTCTCTTTCTCTCTCTCTCTCTCTCTCTCTCTCTCTCTCTCCTTAGTCCAACATGCGTACACCGACCCTACCTCCAACGGTTTTTCTAACTGATTTCAATACGTAATTTGACTAAATGTATATGTATGCATGGTATTTAATCAAATTAAAATCTCAGAATAATTCCTCTGCAAATGTTTATTTCCTTCCTTTTTAACAGGATTCAGTTTAGGATATAGGAGATTCAAAATTTTCAGTTTATTAACAGGATTCAACTTTGAAATTACTAATTCTTGCCCCTAAATCTCGATTATTTTTATATATCTAGGCTTATGATATTGATTTGAAGGAGCAATTGAACATGCACCACGTCAGGGGAATAAGTGCAAGAATGATTGGTTGTGGGAGGAATATAATCAACTATTATCGTCCTTACTCTTAAATCCATCAATAAGTTTTCATCAAATACTCTTCCTTTTCATCTATTTTATGTTTATATTGGTTTATCGATTTTATGTTTATATTGATTGCTCTCTGATGGCCATGGATTTTTTATGAGTTTTGTAGTCATCGGGTGATCTTATTATTTTCCCTCTTATCTTAATCTCGGACAGCTTTTGCTTAATGTCATTCTAATAGGTTTTGGTTCTTTTTCATGGCTGATATGAATTTCTCATCATTTTTTTTTTCAGGCTTTTGGTTATTTTTCATGGTTGATGTGCTTAAGGCTTCTTATTTGAGATCAATAAGGTATTTTGCGTATATTTTTTTATATGTGTATATTTCGTTTATGTTTTGTGGTTGGGTTTTCTGATGTTTTGTGTCTTCTTAGAGAATCTACTTATAGAGCGCTTCTGAGAGGTAGGTGTAAAAAGGAAAGGTTCAAGGAAGCATCTGATTAATTTGGGTAAGGGAAAGAAAAAGCTTGAAATTTTCATATGTGGATCCTCATTTGTATTCAATTTATTTTGCTTGGAAAAGAGATAATTGAATATTATCCTTCAAAGATTTATGTTTATCAGATGAGCGTTTTGTGAAATTTTTTGGGTTGTGCTCCTTTATAAGGTGGGTTATTGGTCGATATGTGTGTTGGGGAATATGAATCTTGATGATTGGGTTTTTGTGTTCATTTGGAGCTTTGTTTTAGGTTCAAATGGGCAATACCTTATCTGTTGCCTTTATTTTAGCTTGACTGCTGGTTTGGAGCTTTGTTTCAGGTTTGATAACTTAATTTGTTCATTTATTATCTTTAATTTAGTTTCCAAAATAATCCTAACCGGTGTAAAATGCAGGGGTAGCATTGTCAATTAGAAAGAAACCATAAGAAAACATGAATGTGACTCCACTGATAGTAGTTTGACTCTTGATTAAGTCTACTGATACCTTTTTTTATCGTAGTTTTCCATGTACTATTATTGTACTACATATTCTTCCATGGAAGATATAATGCACATGGGTTTTGATAGTTGAGAATGGTTTGGACAGCTGAGTTGCTTAAACCGCTACCGGATAGCCGAAAAACATAATGATGTGTGATGTTTTGTATTGAACGTAAAAAATTACAGATTGTTTGTTGTATTTGTGGAATTTTATAAATTTACACATGTTCAAAGAGTCATTATGTGAAGTGTCTATTTGATGTGTGTGTGTCTGCTAGAGAGGGAAGTAAATTTTAACTTTATTCTTTGTTTATCTGTTAATGGCCATTTTTTATTGTTACGGGCTGGTGAGAATACTGACTTCCTACTGTTCTGCTGCTATTCAATTGTCCTCTCCAAGTTGTGCCTCATTTTGGTTGTTTATGGTTATACATTTGCACATTCAGTCAGTATAATTGGAAGTTCACTAGAATTTTTTGTTAAACATTACATAAGTGGTCAATTTTGTCCTTAGTCATGGCGTGACAATAATGTTTTTTACAATGTGGCCAATTTTACCCCTGGGGTCATATTTAGCCTTACTCCTGATGTGACAATAATGTTTTTTAGTTACTTATTAGTTAATAAGTTTTTGATTTTGACAAATTAAAAACAATGTAAAGTTGATCCTTATATTAAATACTTATGGAAGGAAGATAGTTGTTCGATTTTAATATTTATATTTTCTTTATGTACCTTTTTGAAAAATATTTGGTTTTTTGATTTTTCCTTTTGATCAATATAGTAATTTACATATGTTGCTTGCTAATATTTAGAACTTATGGTTTATTTTGTAATATCTTTAACATTTTATATATTTTTAGTTTTGTTTAGCATTATCAATATAAAACAAAAATGTAAAAAATCAAAACAAAAAACCTTTAAATCTATATAGAAAATGATATATCCTAACTTTTGTTTGATTGGCTTTCATTGTTGTTGTCCTAATATTTGTCTAAATTTCACCAACAAAATTGTATAACTAAAAGTTAAAGCAAAATTTTGATAAAATGAACATATGGTAATAAGAACGCCATTATTGTCTGGTAATAAGAACTCATTGCATTAAAGTATATATTATTTTTCTTTAAAAAAACAAACCTAGGTCTCAGGCCTAAAAATGTACTTGCAATTCTATACTCAAAATAGCTTACATTTCTTACGGTATAAACAATATCTAACAAATAAAGTACAATGCCTATATTAGTGGTGTAATGTAAGTACATTGCTATAATATGTGAAAAATTAAAGTACATTGCTATCATCAGTAAAAAAATGTAACTATGTTGCCTTAGTGGGTAAACATTAAAGTGCATTGCCCAAATTGGTAGCAAAATTAAAGTACGTTGCTATTCTTTTTCTCTTTTCTTCATTTTATAACTAACTTATGTAAGTTAATTTCATACATGGATAAGTTTCACCGTGAAAAAAATCCAATATCTCATATGAGATAATAATATGTTTGTTTTGACCATTTTGTGGTTTATTAGGTGCTGAATGTGTGGCAATGGCGATATACTGGAAGCTATATGCTTGTACTGCTTTTTTTTTTTTTTTTTTTTTTTTTTTTTTTTAAATTTATTTCAATTTTAACCACTTATCTTACATCATCAATATAAATTGGATGGGTGTTGGCGGTTAATATTCTTAAAAATGTAATGTTTATATGTTTTTCTTTTAATTTGCTAGAAAAAAAAAATCCAAGTGGAGGTTAATATTCTTAATATTCTTCTATAAGAATTCATGACTTAAAAATGTAATGTTTATATGTTTTTCTTTTAATTTGCTAGAAAAAAAAATCCAAGTGGAGGTAAATATATATATATATATATATATATATATATATATATATATATATATATATATGTATTGGATTTAAAAAAATATTGTATTCTAATATTAGTTTTTGTTAAATATAAGTTACTTTTTCGTTAGGCAATGGATTTGGTTTACCTCTAAGCAATGCTAAGCAATGCATGTTAGCAAAAGATATTGTTCATATCTTTCGTTTTAAAAGAAAATGGATTACATTACTTATCTATAAGATATAAGGCTTTGCCTATGTTTTATTGCACTTTTACTCATTACTATTTATTTTTTTCTATTATTTTAATCAAGACATGATGACTTTGGTTTTTAGCAAAAGAATGGAATGTGTGGGATAGAGAAGATTTGAATTCCACCTTATTATTAATCTCCTCTATCTCATGTAGCTAAATCTAAACCCAAACTAAAAACTTTATGTTTTGTTTCACTAATAGAAAATTACCTATATTTTTAATTTTTCCATTGTATGGCTAATTCGGTTTATTTTGAGTCTATTAAATTTTATTCTTTATCGTGTGGTTAATTTGTAGTTCCTAATTATCTTATAGTATATTAGTCATATGTACCATTATGTACTTAACAAAATAATATTCGTTAATAAGTACAAATAAAAATGGGCTATTTTTGTTAAATATTATGATTTTATTATTTTATATGTAAAAATATATAATTTTAAATAATCAATATAAAAGTCTGAACAAAACTTACATCTTATTAATTTAGTAAAATTTTATAAATCTTTTCTCCGTGGTTTCCACGGGTTATAACCTAGTATAGTATATACATGTAGATTCCTTGCAAACTAATCCAACAAAGACCAAAAGATTGTTTTTTCGTATAGCGTTTCAAGAAATGCAAACATATTTTTGATAAACCTTAATCTAGATTTATCTTTTTCATCCACTTATAATCATTTTTATTAAAGTACATTGTTAAAAAAACTATGCTTTTTTGTATTTTTATCTCAAAGTATACTACTACCGATACAACTGTTATTTCTCTCGTAAGTTGTCAAACAACATATCATTTTCTACCGCTTATTATAGGAGAATTAGTTAATGACAAAATAGTCGAAACCATAAGGTTGCAATCTATCGGTTTCGTTAGATACGCATCCATTCCAACCTCTAAACATTTTGTTTCATCCGATGACATGACATGAGTTGTAAAGGAAGCCAGTTAAGATGTTTAAATAGGGTGCAAACTTTTAAAATTAAGGTTTCATCCAGATAGATCTACTCGTCGAGTCGGGGCATCTGACTCGGCGAGTAGGTCCTTCCACCCATGTCCCAGTTTCGCCTCGACTCGACGAATTAGGGCCTCCAACTCGCCAAATCCCAGAGTAAAATGCAAAAATTCATATTTAAAATACGTATCAGGAACCGAGCGCTACATCTAAAAAGATCTGGATGCCATCAATATTCGTGAATCTCAACCATCGACGACGATGACATCGATTTTGTAACTGGTCGAACACCGGAGAATAAATAAAGAAGAGTTAATCATGGCTACATTTAGCCCAAGAAAAGATTAGAGAATTCGTTTACCGAAAATCCTTCAAAGTTTTGGGAAAGATTCAAGGTTATGTGAAGTTGGTGTCATTTAAATGATCCAGAACTATTTACAAGATAAATTCAAGAAAAGCATAAAGAAACAACAACTATGAAAATCAGGAAAAAAAGATCGAATCGGTTCCTCATGATTTTGCTCTTTGGTATATGGTTTATAAGGAGTTGGTGAACTTTGCCATTAAAGGAGCTTGAGCTCTTCTTTGTAAATTTCTTGGTTAATGAACATGGTTCTTGACTTCAAGTAATGTATATTGTTGGTATCCTGATCTAAGTAGTGATTTGTACATTGTGCTCTAACAGTTGTACCTTGTCAAAGATTCATCATTTTCATTCTAATAAAAAAGGGCATCTCGCCCATATGATCGAAAATTTGAAATCATATTACTAAAGTTGATTGATCTTTAGAAGCAAATCGCTAAAGTTGACTGATCTTTAGAACACTTGGCCAAAGCACAACCCAACTTTTCTGAGTTCGTGTCTTAAACTACATCTTGGTGTCTGTCGACGAAGCTATGATTCTCAATGGTGACAACTTTCTGATGAAAGGGGAAGAAGGGAACTCACTTGAGCAGATACGCACAAGCGGTATATTGTTGGTACCCTGATCTAAGTAGTGATTTATACATTGTGCTCTAACAGTTGTACCTTGTCAAAGATTCATCACTTTCATTCTAATCAAAAATCATATTACTAAGAGGGGCGGAGCTAGGATTTTTGAATGAGGGGCTTGAACTTACAACGTAATATATATATATATATATATATAATAACCCATTAGAATAGAGAAATATGTTTATATTGTAATTTAAAGTCTTATATCATAAAACACATATTGTAATAAGAAAAGTAGTAGTACGTAGTGCGTTGTTACTTGTACCAAATGTGTTTGATGTTTTCTGAAAAAAAAAATCACTAATATCCAATACACTAGTTACAATTAAATTCCAACAAAGAAGATAGAGCATATTGGTGATAGTGGGCTTTGAAGAGTAATACACAAATAACGATGGAGTTAGGGGGGGGGGGGGAAACACCCACTAGTCCCCTTATTGGCTCCGCCCATGATTACTAAAGTTGACTGATCTTTAGAAGCAAATCGTTAAAGCTGACTGATCTTTAGAACACTTGGCCAAAGCATAACCCAACTATGCCGAGTTCGTTTCTTAAACAACATCTTGGTGTCTGTCGACAAAGCTATGATTCTTAATGGTGACACCTTTCTGATGAAGGGAGAAGAAGGGAACTCACTTGAGCAGATAACCACAAACAGATTTGTGATCTGCTAACTATTTGACTCAGATGATGACAAAACCACTAGTGATCTGAGAGAGAGAGAGAGAGAGAGAGAGAGAGAGAGAGAGAGAGAGAGAGAGAGAGAGAGAGAGAGAGAGAGAGAGAGAGAGAGAGAGAGACCGTTTTCTTAATTTTAATTAATGTAAAACATTTGAATAAATATAAAAAAATAAAAAAAACAAATATATAGGTATAATAGTCTTTTTATGTTGATAGAGACAAAAACAATAAAAAGATCTAATTTTGGACCAGTGGTAAACTAAAATTTCGTTTTGAACCAAAAACACATAAATTTGCCAACCACATGGACTATTTTAGCAAATTTGTCTTTTAAAAAACCAATTAGTTAATAAGTCATTTTAAAACACTCCCAAAAACCCACTTAATAAAATTTGAGAAATACCCAATTAATAAAATAGAAAACGTTATCAAAAAAGCTAGGCCTATGAGTGAAGATGATCTTAGAACAATTTCTAAAACATGTTATTTATGATATTACATAACCACTTTTGATTATTTCATGATTAGCCTTTATAATATTTAATCAAAGAGTAAAAAAAAAAAAAGCAGAAAATCTGTATTTTAAAACATAATAATACTAATATTAAAATAATTGGTTTATTTTAAAATTTAAAAGAATATTTGTATGGAGTATTAAAAGTCTTTAGTATCATATGGAATTAATATGTGGAATTCACAAAATTAGAACTCTCAAAAACGAAATCGAATAAAAAACTTATTAAATCCGATCCCATGGAAGATCATCTATTTAATCCACTCGCAACAAATTTGAATTAACAAATACCGGAAGGAAAAGACTTGATACACCTTGTTGGAAATCGGAAACAAAAGGCCTATTAGCTCAGCTGGTTAGAGCGTCGTGCTAATAACGCGAAGGTCGCAGGTTCGAGACCTGCATGGGCCACTATTTCCTTTTTTCACCTCGTTCAGTAACTTGTATGATGCACCCTTAAGTACATGAACAGACCCTGAAGTAAAATTCACAAAATTTACCCTAGCAATCTTATATACATGTAGATTGATTGCAAACTAATCCAACAAGACCAAACCATTGTTTTTTTTCTATAACGTTTCAAGAAAATGCCAACATATTTTTGATAAACCTTAAATCTTAATCTAGATTTATCTTTTTCATCCACTTATAATCATTTTTATTAAAGTACATTGTTAAAAAACTATGCATTTTTTGTATTTTTATCTCAAAGTATGATGCTACCTATACAACTGTTATTTCTCTCGTAAGTTGTCAAACAACATATCATTTTCTACCGCTTATTATTGGAGAATTAGTTAATGACAAAATAGTTGAAACCATAAGCTTGCAATCTATCGGTTTCGTTAGATACGCATCCATTCCAACCTCTAAACATTTTGCTTCATCCGATGACATCGCATGCGCTGTCAACGCCACAATCGGAATATGCATTTCCGTTCCCATTTCCGCTCTTCTAATCGCCTTAGTCGCCTCATAACCATCCATCTTCGGCATCTACCATCCCCCCAAAAAAAAATAAAAATCAGAAAACTATAATTTAAAATAAAATTCCTAATTTCCTTTTTTTTTTTTTAATATTATTATTACCTGACAGTCCATGAGTATCAAATCATATGGCGGAGGGTTATGTTCCTGTAGAGCTTCAACCGCCTGTACCCCATCTCCCACCACAACCACCGTGGCCCCCATTTTTTCAAGCATTATAGTCGCCACTCTTTGAAGTATTGGTGTATCTTCTGCTAACAAAATCCGTACACCTTCTAGAGACTTCTGTCCATTCGTTCCATTTGTGACCAATTTGCCCCTCTCTGATCCGACTTCACTTAGTTCGAGAAAACAGTTGTTTATAGTTGTTCCATATCGTGAAGAAGAAGAAGAAACTATAAATTCCGACTTTTCAGACTCGTTTGAACTCTCTGGATCCGAATGCACATCAATTTCAAGACATTCATGCGTATTATTAATATTATTATTATTATTATTATTATTATGGTTATGGTTATGATTATGAGAGCTTTCTTTAATGGCAGCTTCCATTATTTGAATCATTTTCGCTTTGTATAACGGTTCATTCACCATTAACAGATGCCCTCGGTTATGAAGCTCCATTTTGATGGTGTTAGAGGTGTCATGGTTTAAAACCCACGCAAACTTCGCTCTTCTGTTAAACGTGTCCAAAAAATTTAACTGTTCTTTCCATATATCTGTGCTTAGATTGAGTAGTCCAATATCAATGACTATGATGAAAACAGACGCATCCATTTCTTGCTTGCTTAATGATTCAACTTTTGAAGTTTCATATGTTAAATTTTGTGTATAACGTGTGGGTATAAAGAGTTCTTGTAGTATCTGCGTCAGTTCATTCCACTCACATGCATCCCACGTGGGGACACCAATTTTAGTTAACCACCCAGACAAAATCGTTCTGCCCATACTTCCATTTAGCGCAAGCACTACCTGCAATTTGTTCATAAGTTACATTCTTTCATTTATGAAACTGTTGGGGATCTTTGAGGCCATTTTCCCATGCTTATAAAAGAAGACCAAGGCTTTGGTTTCAAAGTTCACTAATCAAATACACTTTTAAGTATTTGATATCTTTTTCGGTTTTTTATTTTATTTTAGCAGAACAGTCTTGACAATTACAAGAAGAAAAACTTTGCTAACCTTCAAGTTATGATCTGCGTACTTTAATCTGTAGTTGTCTTGTGGTATATCTACAGGTGTATTGAGTAACAGATAAAGTCGCATTAGAGTCCCGGGTCCGTTTTTCTTAACAACTCTTATTTCTCCACCCATTTTGTGAACCTGTTGATAAATTTCTTATCATAAGTCGACATTTTTCAGAAAGTCGCTTTTTGTAAATTTAAGTATCACGTTGATTTAACTCACTAGAGTTCTAACAATGCATAGTCCAAGCCCTGTTCCACCGTGCCTAAAAGAATAAAAATAAAAATCAGAAAAGATTTAGAAAACTGCTTGATTGGAAAATCTGGTGAGTTTTATACTTTTATTGCTTACAATCTAGTAGTTGAAGGGTCAGCTTGTTCGAAGCTTTCAAATACTGATTCCCATTTGCTTGGATCAATGCCTATACATAGAAAAATATAAAAAGAAGAGGATATCATTTAATCACTGTCGTTTTGCTGATAAGAAGAAATGAAAAAAAAAAAAGTATAATGAGATGAAGGTTTATACCACATCCAGTATCATCAACTTCAAACCAAAGAATTACTTTGTTGTCCTTGCATGATCTTTTCCCGTTTTCAATTAATGAATGTGGATCTTCACACCATCCTCGCAGAATAATGTATCCTGCTGTAAGTCAATTGCTAATATTACACTCTGCAAGCTAACTTTGAAGTTTTAAGTTTTTAAGTTTCAAGTTTGAAGCACTAACTATTGTAAATTACACTTACATGTTGTAAATTTGATTGAGTTGCTGATTAGATTAGCAAAAATTTGAACAACTCTAGCAGAGTCCCCTTGAACTACCTTTGGCATATCATCTGATCCCAAACAGATCATAAACCATGAAGTTGACTTAACATAAATTTAGATGTAAATATAGTCATGATTTTATGTTTACCAGAGAGATCTATCACTGTTTCCACATTATGGTTTTTGCACTGTACAGAGAACATATCGACTAGTCCTTCAAGTTCTCTCCCCATGTTAAATTCAGCTTCTTCCAGTACCAATTTTCCTGATTCAACCTGCTAGTTATATATATAATAATGTTAACGCAGATCATATAATGCCAATTGGATGAAAAATCAGAAGAAATTATAAACTGTTTAACGAATCTCACCTTGCTAATGTCTAAAATGTTGTTGAGGAGACGAAGAAGAGCTGTTGAGCATCTACGAATTTGGCTAATTGTTGCGTATTGTTCGTTTGTTAGACATTCATCAGATATAAGAATGTCTAGCAATCCAATGACTGCAGCCATTGGCGTTCTCAGTTCATGACTGTTAAATGAAAACGTTAAAACCCTAATTGCTAACAGAAGTGAAAAGAAAAGAGAAAGATGAATCGATCATGAATATTCACCTCATATTTGCTAGAAATTGGCTCTTGTAGTTGCTAGATGCCTCTGCTTTCCTTCGTGCATCCAAATGACTAATCAATTCTGCACGTAGCTTCATTTCCTTTGAAACTCCATTTGTTAACACGAAAATACACACACAACCGATAACGAGTATACATACAGATGCAGATATCAGTATCATTAACGTCTTGAAAGCTCTCTCGTCTACCTTCCCCATTATGTATTTCCTTGGAATGATAAGGACTCCCACCTGTTAATTTACAATTTTACCCTTTATAAATATAACGCGCCCAATATTTATCGTTAAATATTGGAAGGAAACCTCTTCAAATAACTATATATATATATATATATATATATATATATATATATATATATATATATATATATATATATATATATATATATATATATATATATATATATATATATATATATATTAATACATATCATTAAATATTTTTTATATAAAATAATATCAGGAGATTTGTGAAATCGATTCTAATACATTTTCAGTTTTTTAATGCGAAAATGATCTTTGAGAATTTTTAAGAAAATTATTCCTTTCAAATATAAATAAAGTTAGATTCAACAAATTGCTTAAAGTGTTTGACTTTAAAGATAGGTTCTATGTCCTATTGTTCATAAAACACTATGTTTTTCTATAATTTTATTAATTGTTTATTGTTAAAAAAAATGGTATTTAAGGGGATCCACGCATTGGCTTAAGCAATATATACGTTAACCAATTTCTTTTGTATCTAATTTTGTTTTCATTAAAAAAATACGTATTTTACTCAATTTCACAAACTTTTAATAATTAAGAAAAAATTATGTCTTTTTTATAAAAATAATAAATTTTAGAAAATATAATATCAGAAAAAGCAATTTCTCAAAATTACCCTTTTTGATATTTTTTTGACCAACATTAAAATAAACATTAATAGTGAAACATACATACCATAGGAAGTCGCTTTAAGTTCAAGTAAAACGAATCGATGTAATAAAGTTCATTGCCCAATTTGGCATTCTCTATGTGAACTTCATGATTTGGGGGCTCTTTGTTCCCATAGGCTTTGAGTAACCATTTAGCTCCCGTTTGTATGACTTTATCTTGAGAATCAACAGCCATCATCAGCTTCGGACCTGTAGATGAGTTCCTCAACAATGGCGTAGTAGAAGAAGTAGCCAACAACCAACCCTCTTGTGACGTCAAATAAATATGTCCACTATGAAACCCAACAAGCTCTTTCATAAGCTGTCCCACACTATAAAGCGACGTCGTAACACCAACCACCGCCACTATACTTCCTTCCGACGCATCCCTCACCGGCATCGCCGCTGAAAGTAACGGAGAGTTTGTGAATTTGCTCACAGCGACATGCCACGAAGCTGCACCATATGGAACCTGAGAAATTCCGGCGATGTTTATTAACTCATCCGGAGGTATCGCTTTTTGTTTTCCGATTTTCTCACCGGTTGCGGGATCCAACGGCTCTCGGTACCAAATCGCCGATATGTTACTTTGGATCGTTTGATCGTTCCAGCCTTGATGCGATGAAGATGTGTTGACGTCGTAAGGTCCGGCCATTGTGTAATTTGTGAGATCGGAGTATATGTAATATGTACTGTTATCTCTTGGATCTCTATGAAACGCCTGAACAAACCCGTTTTTGTACTTTATTGATATCGAATTGAGAGCTTTGTGACTTGTGAATAGCGCCCACGTGACATCCCTCATTACTTCATAGAGCTGATAAATTAGGGCATGATTTATGATTTTACGTTAGATTTCTGTATAACAGAGAGAAAATTAGAAACAGGATTGACATAAACCTCAACTTGCTGTGCTTGATTTTCAGGTTTGCTGTATTTTTTGATCACGTATTCCGAGATTTTAACTTGAGCTGTTGTTATTTCAACAGTTGAATTCAAGATGCTCCACATACGCAACACCGGACGCTGTAAAAGTTCATATCGGAGACCATATGCCAATGCATTCAACGATGTTCTTGTGTACACTTTAGTGAAATGCCAGGTGAGAAGCGTTAGCAGACCTATCAGAATCGCCAACATTACCTGCAAAAACCTTTCGATTCACATCTTACAAAGAAAAATTCATGTTTTCGTTTAGTATATAGTTATACCATGATTGCAAGTCGAGCTACAAAGACGCTGTAGTATGATGAGAGACAATTGGTGTTTGTGCACTGGAGCTCTTCCTGTTCGACATCCCTGTGTAGGCTTCTTCTTCTTCTTTTGCAAGGTGAGTGGTTTGAATTTACAGCATCATGAATTTTGATGAAAAATCTTCTTAGAAAAGAATGCATTTGTGTGTCTGCAACTCTTGATGATCGTTTCTTCTCGTTACGTGCCATTTTATTCCCCTGAAACTATAAACTAAGAAAGAACGCACCATGAAACTTTAGGAATAAGTTGAAGAGAGGTCAGAGGAGAGAGGCTTGTTTCTGAAGTGGGTGTTGTCTACTACATATGGTGCGATTTCCACTATTTGGAAGGCTACAATTTTAGATTTTTTTTAATTCAAGAGTGGGGTCATGTGTTTTTTCAATCACTTATTCCTCATCCACAGTCAGTTTTTCTTATAAAATTGTTACACATGGATTGTTAAGAGATGATTTGGCAAATAATTTACATATCATAGTGGGGTCATTCTCCTTTACTACAGGACTCTCAAATTACCAGTTTTGTACTTCATCTTTTAATGAAAAGTTGAATAAGTAATCCAATAAAACTTACAATTGAAGGGTATTGTAGTCCATGATTCTATAATTAAGACTTGAAAAAAAAAATCATATACCCATTGATTTTAAATTTGACATTCTCGTAGTGAATAATCTACATTTACCACTGACCATATGGACAATTGCACAAAGCAAGCACCTGATGACGTGTCATGTTAATGGGGGTGCCATTGACAAGTCAAAGGGTCATTTTGGAATTTTCCTTTATGCTGACAACGAATCAAATAATTGGTCTAAGATACAGGTATCAGGAACCCATGCAAAGCTGTCTATGAAATCAAACTTTCCATAGATGGGACACCTTCCTAATTTAACCATTCTATCAACTTGACAGATAAGGGCACATTTGTCATTTTGAGAATTTGCATATTGGTAGCTTTGATGGTGAAGCTAATCAAAGCGTGATGGAGATGATATTGTGAATTTTTGATAAAGCAAGAATAGTTATTAGATTGGTACTAGAAGTAGACAAAGCATGGGGGGTATAAGATTGTGATTCCCATTTTGATATAAAGATCCACTTTTTAAGCAGATTTGTGGTAGCCAAGAAAGATTGGGAGGGATGAGTTGTTCTCTTGATGCTCTAAAAGTAAACATTCCTCTAATCCTTTATTTTCTTTCTCTTAACAGAATTATAACAATTTCTATTTTGATATTTACAAAGAGAAAACAAAGAAAATTACAAAATGTTGAAAGGACCAACATACCAATCAGACCGAATACAATTTCTATATTTTTCCTTATGTTTTACCCTACTAAACACCAAGGTGATGATATTATCTGCCAATTTCAAAGAAGTAATACACGTTTTATTGAAAATATTGTCATTCTGAGCCTGCCAAACACCAAGAAATAAATGATGGCAAAGAAAAGTTTTTTTTTTTGGGTAGTTCCCCAATGAGCAACAAAGTTAACCAACCGATCCACCGATGAAGCGAAGATTAAAGGAAATATTGCACCACTTAAAGATCTTTATAGTTTTGATTTGTATAGCATCTATTATAACTTGATTATTATTAAAACATCGATGGTGGAATTAGTTATAACTTCTATAGTAGTAAACATAATTATTATAGATTTAAACCACAATAATTAGGAAGAAAACATCTTAGATTGTAATAATTAAAAAAAAAAAAAAACAAGATCACTGTCACCATGTGCATTAAAGGCACAAGATCACAAAGGGACTAGCATGTTTGTCGAGATGCTCAACTTAATTCCAGTGCAATATCCATTATAACTTGATTTGCAAGGCTCGATTTTGAGTTGAATGAAATACTTTTTTGAGGCTCGATTTTAAATTGAATGGACGAGATTTTTAGGGTCTGCATGAGAACTTTTTAGTAGAATTGATGAATTGCTTAGGATTTAGAAGACTACTTGACTATAGAATAAAAACTAAAGATGTAGGATCAGATTGATCGTTGTCGAGATCTTAAGATCTCAGTAGAAATATTGCTTCATAATCGGTCCTAGTGTGACAGGGATCGTTTTTCACTAGTATCATCTCAAGTTCAAACATAAACTGTAGTTAACATTTGACCAATGCCGTTCTAAACCGATTTGATGCCTCGGACAAAATAAAAAAATGAGGTCCTTAGACCATCTCAAACCGTACACAATTTTTTACACCAAAAAAATATATATTTCATACTAATAACAAGTTAATATATGATTAAAATTTAAAAAAGATCAAAGAAGATTTATTAAAAGTAGTACATACATGAAAGTTTTGCAACATTTTGGTGTAAATGAATAGTATAACACCAATTTGGTGTTATACTATAATAAGGTGAGGTTGGAGATGACTATACAAGAAAATGGTGTAAACTTAAGTTTTTATACCATTAGTAAAGGAGAGTGGCTTTTTTGTTTTTATTAAATGGACTCTTGTTATAAATTTCTTTTTAAATTGTTTTTGTAATAATATTAGTTGTTCGTTTTTCCTTTTCCAACAACAAAAATAATGATTTTTGAATATTTTTCTAGGCTCCAACAACAAGGACTTCAAAATTTATGATGTTGAAGTTTCAAGTTATTTACAAAAAAATCAAAAAGAAAACACGGAAATTAATTTTTTTTATTAGAAAAGTAAATGAAAGAAGTGAAAAACAATAATGAATATTAAAATTTAAATGAATCAGAAATTAGATTAAATTAAATCAAAAATCAAAAATCAAATCGATGATGCTGTCTAAAATTAGATTAACATGAATAAAAGATCAATTTTTTTTTGAAGGATGTGTGAAATCAGATTATCAAGATCGATCTATTATGAAAGAATGAATTCAGAAACCAGAAATCAGAAATTGAAATCGAAAATCAGAAGGTTGCGTAAAAAAACCAGAATTGATTTATTATATATCGATTTTTTTTTTGCCATTGATAAAAATCAGAATTGATTCATATTCCTTTAACCAGTGGTGGTGAGGGGCTCAATACAATGATTATTCTAGAAATATCTTCACTGTTGATTTTGTTTTGGCTCCATTTTCTTTCATTTTTTCCGCTCAAATGCTATATATGATATATCAGGTTGTTTTATATACTAACATAGAAAGTATATAAAAATAGACCCCTAGAAATTTGGAGGCCCTAAGCCATTGTCCATGTTTTCTTACCCATTGACACACTGCATAACCCTGTTTTTAAGCTACCTAATCCTTCAATATGAACTTATAGCTTGGTGAAAGGGTTGCAAATAACTAAAAGGTATTTAAGACATTTTTTATATTATATTTACTAACTTATGTTGGTGATTTATATTGTTAATTTTATTCAAATGTAATGAATTAATTTGTTGACCAAATACAATCTTGATAAATATTAAACAAATAAGGGTGATGTAGTGTGCATACTTGTTTGAGTTTGTTCAAGATTGAAACTATGTTACTATTTAGGGCGAAGCCGCTGAACTGACGGGGCCCGGGGGCAATGCCTCTAGGAGCGGGGTCCAAGAGGCAGAGCCTTCTGTCACACCCCAAAACCAAGAACGACGGAAACATTTTGGGGCGGAGGACGTCATGTAAAGTAGGGATGTCAAAAAGTCCCGTGGGGCCCCGATCCCGAATGGGGAATATTTGTTTAAAAAATCGGGGACGGGGGTGGGGGCGGGGGCAATGTTAACCCCAGTTTTAGTTTCGGGGGCGGGGGTGGGGGTGGGTAGTCCCGTCCCGAACCCCCAATGGGGACCCCGTTAATATATTATTTATATTAATAAATATTAATTATAAAAATATAATAAATAATAGCAATGATTTTGAACTTCCAAAATTCAATTAAATATCATGTTTTTAAGCTTATAGTATAACATTTTTAAGATGTTATAATATGTTTATTTTAAATATATAAACTTATGCTATAAATAACTATTTTTATCCAAAATGGTTTCTTTTAGCTCAAAAAATAACTTCTTTTAGCATAAACTACACCTTTGTTCGCCCAAAAAAAAAAAATTCAACCCAAATGGTGGGGGGGGGGGGGGTGGGGGAACGGGGGCGGAGGCGGGGATGGGGAGGCCAAAGATTTCGGGGGCGGGGGTGGGGACGGGGGAACAGGAAAATTTCGGGGGTGGGGGCGGGGGATGCAATCCCCGCCCCGTTTACCCCCGTTGACATCCCTAATGTAAAGTATATCACAACAATGCAAAGTAGTAAACAAGCAACAACATCATCCATTGCATTAATAGTATAATTTTAAATACAAGCGTGTTCTTTCATAGAATAAAACAACATAATGAATAATCAAAATAAAAGACGAGTCTTGACTGCTCCGTCTTCTCAATACCTGGTCATCGTACCTGTCTACTGGTGACCTGAGAATACAAGTTATTTTGAAAGCGAGTATCAACATAAAGCTGGTGAATTCATAAGTATTTTAGTGTCATTGATTTGTAAAAACTTGTAATGAAAGACTTGTAATTGTTTTGAGGAAAAGTTTGTATAAGTATGAAAACCCTAGAAAATCTCATATTTCCTACTAGTATAAAAAGAAGTCTTCTACCAAGACCCGACTGTTTTGAAAGTATGCATCATTGTAAAAATGACGTTTTTTCCCATGTATAACTACTATTATAAAAATATAGTCTACCTCATCGTTTATGTGAATGTGTCACAAAATAAAGGTAATAAGGAAAATAGTATATTTATATCAAAATATATTCTACCTTATCGTTTATGTGAACGAGTCACAAACTAAAGGTAATAAGGAAAATTGTATAATCCTTAAGAATGTATCCATTTGTATAGGATAAACGTGGCGTGGTAACTCGCCGAACAGTACAACCGAGAACATCCGAAGATGAACACACCTTCTATTGCGAGCAGCCAAGTGTAGGATGGCCAGTCCATGAGTGTGTAGAAGTATAACATCATATAATATGTAGCAGTATCTCTTCATATAGTATGTACTAGTGTCTCTTCATATAGTATGTATTAGTGTCTCTTCGTATAGTATGTACTAGTGTCTCTTCATATAGTATGTATTAGTGTCTCTTCGTATAGTATGTATTAGAGTAGTGTATGCATTGACTCATGTATGAACTGACTCTTAGTGTGATTCCTTGTACTAGAAATAGTAAATAGTATCTCCTAACTATACCTATTATAGTTACTAGTAATGTACGTGTATAACCGAGAGTATGCCTTTGCTACCCAAAGGTACTGAACTGACTGATAGAACTTTTATGTCTATATATGTATACTTAATATATAA